AATATTATTATATCAAATTTCATTTGAATATTCTAAATTGTTAAAAAAATAGATCAGTAGTATATTTATAGTACCAATACAGGCAAATTTGCCTGTGTTGGTCTACAATCTAAGAGATAATATGTAATATAGCCTAATAAAAATAAATAATTAAGATTTAACTATATATATAATAAAATAATATTTAAACTATAATTATCAACACCAGAGGTTTTATTCTTTAATATTTTATTTAAAGTACCATTCATATATACTTTATATATATATGATACTTTTAGAACCATGTATAGTAAATCAGAAAATATAAAATCATTATTTATTTGTCGATACAATTCAAAAAAGTGTTCATACCCTTCAGATCTGTGAAGCTATAGTAATAATAAATAAGAATTATAAAAATTATGATATAATATAATTAAAAGAATCTAGCAAAAATAAATTAGAATATAAATATAGTAATATTTTTTAAACTTTAAGAAATTAGCAAATATTATTATTTTTACTAATAACTCTGCTAAGCTTGTTAAAATATTAAATATTTGTGTTGCAAGAAAATTTTTCTCAAAACTAATATAATTAGAATTAGCTAATTTAGCTGATAAAATATATAATCTCTATATCATAAGAAAAAAGTAAACCATCATAGCCATTCGAGCCCTCTCTAGATATAAAATTGTTCTGTTTTGGTATGCGTCAATTAACTCGCCTAGTTAAATATTAAAGTTAAAAAATTAGAATAAAATTAGATTTTTTAATTTTAATATAAATATATTATTAATTTACCAATTACAAACAAATAAACGAAAAGCCCTTGATGAATATTTTCAGAATTATTTGAATTCATAATTTGACTAAGAAGTGAAGAACAGAAAAGACAATAACTAGCTCCATCATCTTGGTGATCACAATTAATAATATTTTTTTTATATAATATACTATCGTCTTGTTCACATATATCTAATACTTGATCATACGTTGCTAAATAATATTCTAAAGTAAGAAATTGTGCTCCAAAAAATAATGCATTTTGTGCAGATTTTTAGACATGTAATAGATCAAAAACTTGAATTACTGGCTCTATTTCAAGAAAAACTGGGCAAGTAAAGTTTATATTGTATATCAAATCACTAAAACTTATTGTTAGTTCAGTATTTTTGGATATTAAATGTTTTTGAATATTGAATTCTGAAATAGCACTATTAGCTCCAACAGAAATTATGTGAATTGAAAGTTGGCTAGCTATTTCTAACACCTTTTCATACATTTGTAATATATGTATTGATATTTTATTGCTATTATTTGGAACTAATCCAATTACAACTGGTAGAAACTTTGGTAAAGGTATCTGAGTTTTGAAAATTAGTTAGTTAATTTTTTTTTAATAATTATGAATTTTTTTTACTTATAACACCATAATCTATATATACATAGCAGAAACTTCATTTTTGCTAATATTCAATAGCTTAAAGTATTATTATTATTACTAGCATTATTTATATTAAGCACTTACTTGAAGCAAATATAAACAAACTTGCTTTGCAATTGTATTATTTAAAATTATATTTCAAATAATTGTTTTTGCTTCATCATAATCTTCAAACTGAGTTTGATCATAGGAAAAAGTAAGACCAATAATATATCCAAGATTTGTAAAATAACCAAGACGAGAATAGAGTTTAGTATTATCAGTTATTGCAATAACTGGTCTATTATAGTTTAAAATATTAGCCAATCTTTTGAACTATGCTATATTTTCAAAGCATATACTTATGTCAGACATATACTTTTCAGATCTTTGACGTAAGAGCCTGTATAAAAAAGTATTTTAAAATTTTCTAATTTAATTTTTTTTATATAAAAATTTGTATAAAACTGTATATTATATAGTCTTATTACTATCCTTTACTACAAGTATTTCTATATATCAAATAAAATTAGTATCTTATATTTTGTAGTATTTGTCTTATCAAATTGGCTTGATAAAAATCATATGCTCTTGAACTTATGCTGGAAAGTATAGCTGTAAAATGAATAATATCCTCAGAATATTTCAAGTTTTGACTTCTTTTTTTATATTCTTCATGTTAAGCTATTTGTGTCATTAATTCACATAGTTCTTTAAATATAGCTTTTGATTTAAACACTCTATTTAGACCTTTTTCAGCTAATTTTATCTAAAATAGTATTGTATTAGTTGTATTAATATAAAAAATTGAGATCCAAAGATCTTTTATATTCAGATTTTTAAGAAAATTTAAAAATGAATTATTTTTAAAATATAATTTTGGGGTGTAATGTTGATGTTCTAGTTTTGATATAGGTTTAGAAATCACATTCTAAAATAAAATAAAAATTATTACAGAATATAAAAAAAAATCTAAATGATAGAAATTTTTATTTTAAAAATTTGATTCTTTGTAAATAAAATACATTTCACACATATATAGGGGGGAGTCAGTAGAAATAGGAAAAATCATTTTTAGTAAAATTTTTTTAATTTTTAAATTACAATTTCTTGGCAACTACTTAACCAATTTTGATAAATTTTTTTTTATTTTAATCCTAGAATTATCTAGAATTAAAATAAAAAAAATTT